GCTCGCGCCTCGTGCTGCACCCTCCACACTTTTTACGTTTTTCCACACGGATGTTTCTTTGGCATCAACAGGTGGCTGGCTCTGCCGGGGCGGAGGGGTTGGCAAGGCAAGGCGTCGGGCGCGACCCCAACCGGCAGCGGGGCCCCCTTCGACCCAAGGCCTCGGCCCCTGGGCTTTAAGGGTTTTTGGGAATGGTCGGTCGCAGGCCGATTCCGAACAGTGCCTCGACGCTCTCTCTCACTCGCACCTCCCGCGGCACGCTCCGTGAGCGCGAGAGAGACAGAGCGAGCTCGCGGAATGAGCCTGCCGCCGGCGGCGCTAACTCGACACCTTGACTGCCAGGCCGCCGGGCCACGCCCAGGGCCTTCATTAAGCTCTCGTCGGCTAGATCGACTGACAACGGCGGGCAGCATAATTGCCGTCGCGCGTCAAACAACAAACAAACAACAGCAAATCCCTTGTTGCTCTTGTTTTTGTTGTTTTTGTTGGGTTGATGAATGGGCGTCATCGATACTCACTCACTCACCGGAAGCAGAGTCGCGTTTTACCTGCCCGATCGCGCGCTATGAGAAGTGGTGCCCGATTTCAGGAACGAGAACGAGGTATTGTTCGAGTTCGGCGTACCGATACACATGTACACACCCACACACCCACACACACACACACACACACACACACCCCACACACACACACTCACACACACCCCCACCCCTCACACACACACCACACTCTCTCTCTCTCTCTTTTCTCCCACACACACACACAACACACACACACACACGACCAGGCACGACCGACGAGGGCGGCGGATGGCGCTTCGGTTCGCTTGCTCGATGATGCTCGCGCGCGGTCGCCGGCTTAATGTAATTACAGCTTGCTCAACAACACGGGATGCCGCTCAGCGTTTTCCGCCCTCCCCCCCCCCTTCCTTCCTACCGCCCTCGCCGTCGCCCACGCTGTACAGTCCCTGTTCCGAGATCTCCCCCCCCCCTCCCTCTCCCCTGCTCCTAAACCCTACCCCCTACCCTCCCTACACCCAAACATAGACACATTGTAACGAGCGCACACGAACAACACACGCACGCGCATACATTAGCCCTAATTTTTATTCGCGCCGTTGCAGCGACACGCTTGTACATGACATTGCACTAAGCAAACGGCTCCCCCCCCCTTTTTCCCGGACAAACACTCGCCGCGAACGCGACACGCCTTTTCCACGGCGCCACCGCACAGTGGGCCAGAAGCTGGTGGAGGCGGCCAAAACTCTAGACGCGGTTTGAGCTCCAGAGTCGCTAAATGGGACTCGAACCGAACGTGTGACCCCACCAAAGGACTCCTCGTTCGGAGAGCAATCCATTGGTGGGGTCACACGTTCGGTTCGAGTCCCATTTAGCGACTCTGGATCTCAAAACGCGTCTAGAGTTTTGGCCGCCCCCACCGGCTTCTGGCCCACTGTGCACCGCCCAGAGCGCTGGAAGCGGGGCGCGGCGTACTTTGTACTTTTCTTCGCCTCCTTGCCATTGTCGTGCCGCTGTGCCTCGCCCGCCTCCCCGCGAGCTGCCCTGTATTCCCGTCTCCTCCCAAAGCGGCATCGGGAAACGGTGACTGGCGAACGGGCGGGCCGAGGCGGGCGAACGCGTCCCGCGATTGGCAGCCGGCGGCAGCCAGGACAGGACGCCGCCGGGCGAGGCCCCTTCTTGTGCGAGGGGTTGTTTTGACAGTTGGATCCGAGTCGCTCTTTTCCCGCTCCTCCTCGCCGTCGCCCCGACTCGTCCTGCTCGTCCTGAGTCAGGGCGACGGCGAGGAGGAGATCGGTCCGTCGCTCTGTCTCTCTCGCACCCTTACGGAGAGCCCCGTGAGTGCGACGGAGCGACGAGACGACTCCTCCGGATCGCTCGACTTGACGGCTTCATGTTGATGTGTCCGCAGATTTCGTCGTCGCCGGCGCTCCCCTTCCTGAGCCCGGACGTCCTGAGCCCCCCTCCCACGTCGGAGGGCAGTGCCATGGGCAGTGCCATGGGCAGTGCCATGGGCAGTGCGGCGGCGGCCTCGGCAGACGGTGCGCCGGCCGCGCCGACCAGCGACGCCGCGGCCAGTCCAGCGCCCGCCAAGGCCGAGCCCGTGGCCGAGCCGGCCGCCGAGAGCCCCCGCCGGACCAGCCCCGCCAGGAGGAGAAGCACGGACAGCCCCGCCACCGCCAGCCCGACCGCCGCCAGCCCCAGCAGGACCAGCCCCGCCAAGGGCAGCCCCGCCAAAGCCAGCCCCGTCAAGGGTAGCCCCGCCAAAAGCAGCCCCGTTAAGGGTAGCCCCGCCAAAAGCAGCCCCGCCAAGGGCAGCCCCCCAAGCAGCCCCGCCATGCGCGGGGACAGCCCCACCCCCTCCCCCGCCCCCTCCCCCGCGGCCCTGGCTGGCCAGGCCGCGACCAAGGAGGTGTGCACCCTGCGGCAGCTCAGCCCGCTGAAGCGCGTGAGCGAGCCGATAGACATTGGCCCTGCGGGCCCTTCGGGTACTTCGGTCGGCAAGCTCGGCGGCGACGCGCGGCCGCGGCAGCGGAGAAGGAGCTCCACGCGGGACAGCCCGCTCAGGGACGACCCCGAGCTGGAGCCGGAGCGCGCCAGCCCCTGCCGGAGTCCCTGCGCCACTCCGAGAACCCCCTGCCGGAGCACCCCCTGCAGGAGTCCGTGCCCCGGCAGTCCCGCCGGCAGCGCGCACTCCGGGAGTCCCTGCGGCAGCCCTTGCAGTGGAGGCAGTCCCTGCGGCAGCCCTTGCAGTGGAGGCAGTCCCTGCAGCAGCCCCTGCACCGCCAGAAGCCCCTGCCGGAGTCCCGCCAGGGCCAGCCCATCGTCCAGACGCAGCACCCACTCCCGGAGCCCCTGCAGAAGTCCCTGCAGAAGCCCCTGCCGAAGTCCCTGTCGTAGTCCTCGACGAAGTCCTCGACGGAGTCCCGCCCGGACGAGCCAGCCCCGCAGTCCTTGTGGAAGTCCCTGCCGAAGTCCTCGACGAAGTCCTCGACGAAGTCCTCGACGGAGTCCTCGACGAAGCCCCGCCCGAACGAGCCAGCCCCGAAGTCCCTGCAGAAGTCCCAGCCACAGCCCCGTCGGCGGCAGCCCCGCCAAGAAGAGCCCCGTGACGGGCAGCCCCAGCAGGGGGCCTTCCAGGGGCCGGCGCAGCAAGGGCAGCCGACGCAGCAGGGCCACCGCCAGTTCGCGCGGCAGCCCCAGCGACGCCGTCAGCACGGACGACGAGCTGAGCGCCGACCTGCTGCAGGTCAGTCGCCACACTCTCAAAGACAGCAATTTATCTGGAGCAGGTCAGATCAAACCACGGGGCGTTTCGCCGACGCGCTAGGTAAGGCAGAGGCCGGGCACGGGCCCTCGCCAGTTAATTGGATGCTGGCCGTGCGCTCTCGAGCACCAACATGCGACCGGCATGCCACAGGTTCGATTCCGCCCGCCGCCTCCCATTATTTCACGCTTACATATCCGCATTAAAGCGGTAAGGTGACGCATATTTAGCGCTTTGACATGGCGATTTTCCCTATGGAGTGAAAAACCCCTAGGATCAAACTGTGGGCGAACGGAGCGTAAAAGGAGTGAGTGAACTGCGCGGCAAATCGACTTTGGGTCCTTCTGTCCTGAGCGGTTGTTCCGTGTACAGAAACATCTGGGAGAGTGCTGTATCCTGACCTCTTTTTCTTTCAGGACAGTCGCATGCCATCGGCGCTCGGGATGATGCATAGCCCGATTGATTCGATTTGCTTTTGTTTGTTTTGAATTTGCGTGCCTCCCTCTGACTCCCTCGCCCTCGCAGCTGATGGTGCCCGTGGCCTCGTCCGAGCGACTGCCCATGCGGACGCGGACGCCGTCCGTGGGCGACGACCTCGGCGACGACGACCTGGAGGACGAGGAGGTGGCGGCGGTGTGGGGCTCGGACGTGCTGCAGCTGCCCACCTCCCTGGAGATCGACATCCGGATCCGCAAGGGCTCCCTCCCCTTGGGTGCGTAAATCACGTGAATCGCGTCCCCGCCAAGCGCGTCAAACTGAAAAAAAAAATCAATTTCCTCGCGACCAACTTTCCTGATGGCTTTTCCTTTGCAGGGCTGAGCGTGGACTCCGTAGGGCGCGGCGTCAACGGCATGCTGGTCGTGGCCGTGGTGCCGGGCGGCGCGGCCTACCGCGACGGCCGCATGGTGCCCGGCGACCTAGTCGTGTCCGTCAACAACGAGTCCCTGCGCCACGTGACCAACGCCCAGGCCCGCGCCATCCTCAAGAGGGCCAACCTCGTCTCCACGCACCTCAAGTGGGTACCACCGCCGCCAGCGCCCCCTCCCCCTGATTCCGCACAGTGCGGCCGTCGCACAGTGGGCCAGAAGAACGGCGGAGGCGGCCAAAACTCGCGACGCGTTTCTAGCTCCGAAGTCGCTAAATACGACTCGAACCGAACGTGTGACCCCACCAATGGATTGCTCTCCGAACGAGGAATCCATTGGTGGGGTCACACGTTCGGTTCGAGTACCATTTCGCGACTCTGGAGCTCAAAACGCGTCTAGAGTTTCGGGCGCTTCCGACGGTCTTCTGGCCCACTGTGCGTCGGGTTGTCTCTCTCGCACCGGTACAAAGTGCCCCACGAGTGCGAGAGAGAGAGAGAGAGAGAGAGAGAGAGAGAGAGAGGGAGAGAGAGAGAGAGAGAGAGAGAGAGAGAGAGAGAGAGGGGGAGAGAGAGAGAGAGAGAGAGAGAGAGAGAGAGAGAGAGAGAGAGAGAGAGAGAGAGAGAGAGACGGAGAGAGAGAGAGAGAGACAGAGAGAGAGAGAGAGAGAGAGAGAGAGAGAGAGAGAGAGAGAGAGAGAGAGACCTCCACAGTGCAGTGCGCCGGGAGGGAGGTCACTCGGCCGTGAGTGGCGACGCCGCGATGGCGTGTGTGGCGTCGCGTGCTGCCTCGCGGTTCCGCCGTAATGCTCTCGATCATCTCGATTGATGAGTGTTTCGCATTACGGGACGCGGGGCGTCCCGCAGGCTGTCTCTCTCGCACTCGTGACGAGCCCCGATGGGTGCGAGAGAGACAGAGCGACGGGACGCCCCGTTCGGAATCAGCCGGGCTGGCAGCATGCACGGCCCCAGGCCCCAGGCACGGGCCCTGGCGGGGCAAGGATCTCCAGTGTCTCAGAGGCACGGGGCCCGGCGGCCGGGCGAGGCAGGGGCGACCGCAGAGGGGGTGGAGGTACCTCGGGAGACGTTGATTGGGGCGAGGCGAGGGACATCCCTGGGATATCGGATGGGCCAACGGCGGCCAACGGGGTGGACCCTCTCTGCCCCAGGGTACGCTCCACCAGGGTACGCCCCGCACGGCGAACAGTGTGCCCTGGTTTCCCTCGCCCACCCTGGAAAAAGCGGACATTTTACCAGGGTGGGCCTGGGCCACGCCAACACTGTGTTCGCCGTGCGCCGCAGGGCTCGACCCGCAAGGCGAAGCTGCTCGCCGCTTCAGAGCGGCTTTCCTGGCCGCGCCCCGCCACGCCCGCCCGCCCCGCCACGCCCGCCACGCCACGCCCGCCACGCCACGCCCCGCCACGCCCCGCCACGCCCCGCCACGCCCCGCCACGCCTACCCAGCTTCTAGAGCCGCCCCGGAGGCCCGGCGGCGGCGCACGACCACCACGCTGGTACACTGCGACGCCTGCCCTCCGCCGGCCAAGTCCTGCTGGTCCTATAGTGGCCCCTGGCTCGCCCCTGGCGCACTGGGGCCTCAGAGTCGCTCTCAGGTGGGAAGCCCCGTGCCGGGTAATCTTATTACGTAAACAGGATGACCGGGGCGCGGGGCGGGGAGCGGGTCCGCGGAGACGGGGCCCCCGCGGCCGCCCCGCCCGCGCAGCGCAGCGCAGCGCGCAGACCGTCCTGGCCGCCCGGCAACCTGCGCCGAGGCGACCTAGTCCGAGCCGTCCACGCCGTGCGCGCCGTTCGCGTTGCACACGGTTAATATCGAGAGTGCGGTAGGACCGGCTGGCGCGCCACGCCCCGCCACGCCCCGCGCCGCCACGCCACCGCCTTGCCGGCACCCTCGTCGCGGACGCGTCGGAGTGCCCCGCGGACGCGGCCACCGGGAACCGTGATTCACCGCCCTGTCGGCCAGGCCGTCGGCCAGGCCGTCCGTCACGGCTATATCCCCGAGCTATCCGGCCGTTCGCTCCCCCGCTCTCTCGCTTCCATTTTTTTGCCGCGTTAATCGGCGTGCTGGCGCGGCTGGCGGGGCTCCGGATTTATGTAGTGGCGGTGCGGTCGGGAAAGTGATAACCCGCTACGGCGGGAAGCCGGCGGCGCGCCCTCGACCGCAGTGTCGCGGGTTCGACGCCCGGCAAGTGCCGCGCCAAGGCGCCCGTTTTCATGCGCTCGGGCGCGCGCCTTTTTGTGTGTGTGAGTGCGCGTGTGTGTGTGTCACACTGTGTCACGCCGTGTGTGCTTGGTGTGCCGCAGCGTGGTGTACATCCCCGGGGAGGCGGCCGCCGCCTACCGACGCTCGCTGGCCGAGGTGCCCACCGTGACGCCGCCCCCGAAGCACAGCAAGCAGCCGTCACCTAGGTGAGCGCCAAGCCAGCCGACACCTGCACAAAAAATCAACCAAAAAACGTTAAAAATTTGACGAATATGTCTTTTAATTTTCTAAACTCCTTGTGCTCATAGAAGGCAATAAAAACGCTGTAAATCATATAACTATCCTCCAGGATAAATAATTACTCTATAACCGTGTATTTTTTGAACGTTAGCGATATTTTAGATTTGTTTTTTTCTTTTTCTGTTTTGACACTGTTGTAGGCACTTAAACTTGCATCATGCAGTGTTGTAAAGCGTGTACAGGCTTGACGCAACATGTATTGCGGGTTTTCCGCCTAGCACCTGTTTATTTCTGTGCAATGATACAAAGTTGCGCAGGCCTGATACTCGCTACAGGGTGAAACGCACTGTCTTGACAACATTTTCACCACAAGTAGTCATTCTTTCTCTCTGATATTACTTAGTTGGAAGCATAAAATAAATTCGTGTTCGGGAGTTGAAACTGTAAAACCGTTGGGGTTCCCTCTGCATGTTAGTCCACTTCCGGGATGACTTTATGCCAAGCGGCCGCGGAGACGTGTACATGTAACAACAACCTGCTTATGTCTGTGTCGCATTTTACTGTGTTGGCGTCTCAATTCAACCATTGACCAAACTTTTAGACATTTAAGTCAGTGCAAATTTCTTTTATGTTGAATTTAAGTTTGCTTTATTTCTGGCTGACGTGAACGTTTCTTTTTTGTTTTCTTAGCGTTTTTCTACTGCATGCAGATCTCGGTCTGGCCCTGCACTTGAACCACCTTTAGGTTTAGCCAAACAAGGTGACTATGTTTTGATGTAGATGAACATGCATGGCTGCCTGCGCCACGCCCCTTTCCCACGCTTCAGTCCCCTCCCGCCCTTTCACTTCCAGATTTTATTTAAAACCGCAAATAAAATTTAAAAAAAAAACAAGCTTTAAAAAGAAATGGAGACGTATCCGCCGGTCCGGCGATGAGCTGCTTACAGTGTGCGTGGCCAAGTCTCCGTGTTTGGCGAGCTTGCCACTGGGTGCGCTGTGGTGCCGCCTGTGGCCGGCGCGGCTGTGCGCTTTAGCCTCGCAGTGTTGCCAATCGGTTTTCTTTGACTCCCTTGTGGCATGACTAACTAGCGTTGGCAGACTGAAAGTGCCCTCTAGTGTGTGTGTAGGAACTTGGACGTGGCTTGACTGTTCGTTTGCTTATCATTGTTTGAAAACAAAACAAAAAAAAATGGGATCCGGGGTTAAAATGATGTACAGGTCCCACGAGTCTTTCCGGGGGTAATCCGCTGAAAGGGAAGTTGGACACCCGAGCCGGGAACAAGAAAACTAAGAGCACCCAAGCACCCCACTCCACTCCCAGCGAGCCCCAGAGCTGTGTCGATGATTCACGGGGTAGGTTCTAATGCTTGTTTCTCACGCTATCGCTCCTCCTTCTGTTTGGTGCTCGCCAGGATCTTTCCTGAGTACTACCGGTAAGTGACTCGCCGCTTCTCGCTCACAGCTAGACTATCTCCCCGACCCCGTCTGCTGGCTGCTTCCGGGCTTTGTCGCTGTCTCCCTCGCACCCAACGGGGGCGTCTCCCAGGAGCACTGTAAGAAAAAAGTACGGAAAAAGTACGGAACATGTCTGGTCAATAATTTGCCTGGAACGTCCGTACTTGCCAACTACGGAACGTTCCCTACTTTTTTTCCGTAACCATTTGCATGGGTTCATATGGAGCAAGTACGGAACGTTCCGTACTTTTCTCCGTACCTCCGTACTATATTTTTCTGTACCATTTCCGTACAAAAGTACGGAATTTTTTAACAGTGAGTGAGTGGGAAGCAGCGACGAAAGTTCGGAATCGGCCTGCTGTACAGTCGATGCTGCACCAAGCTGTTGTTGTTTCAAAGGGGCGGTGCATCGGGAGATAAGCTTCTCAGATCTAGTTTTATCCAGCTTTCATTCTCTCTACTATATCTACCTAAGTAGTCTCTTTGGTACGATAATTTAGCGTCTTAGTCTTTTCTGACTCATCTCTAATTAATTTCGTCACACGCCGCATTCTAAACTAGATTATTTAAACAAATTAAGGCAGCCAACTTTGACATTACGTTAATACCAGCCAGCCCATTTCCCTAAATTATTAATCCCCATAAGGCTAATGAAACAGAAACATGATTACGCAAACTTGACTTGGCTTCACGAAAGTGGACGGGGTTCGTCCCGCGGCCCCCTCTTCGTTGGCAGGGCGTTCCTCTGCTGGCATCGCACATTGTGCCAGAAGACCGGTTCGGGCAGCCAAAATTCTCCACGCGTTTTGGGCTCCAGGGTCGCTAAATGGGACTCGAACCAAATGTGCGACCACATCAATGGATTCCTCGATCGGAGTGCAATCCGTTGGTGGTCTCTCACGTTTGGGTCGAGTCCTGTTTGGCGAATCTGGGGCTCAAAACGCGTCAAGAATTTTGGCCGCCCCAACCGGTCTTCTGGCGCAATGTGCGTCGCGCCGAGGAGGGCCCGGGAGGTCATGGGTTCGAATCCCGGCCGCCGTTGCTTTTTCTCTGCCTCACGTGTCCGTATTTGCGCAGCTCGCCGTACATCCACGAGGGCGGGCCGGACGCGCGGACGCGCAGCGCCAGCGAGAGCTCGGGCGACCTCCTTGAAGAGCCGCCGGAACCGCCTGCACCCGACGAGGACCCGGAGCCGCCACCGCCGCCGGACGAACCGCCCGGGCCGTCGCCGCTCCCGCCGCCACCCGAAGAACTCCTCGCGGAGGCCGAGTCGCTGCCGGAGTCCGAACCAGAGTACCCGACCGCGCCGCTCAAGCCGACGTCCACGCCGCTGTACGCGCACGTGGTCGGCAAGGAGTTCCAGCTCTCCTCCGAGGAGAGCCTCAACGAGGAGCTCCTGCGCCTCCGGGACGACATCTGCCCGGCCGTCGGCCAGACCGAGCTCCCCTCGGTTGGCACGTCGCCGGCGGAGCGCTCGCCCGTGCTGAGCGCGCGCAGCCTGCGCAGCCTCCCCGTCCAGGAGTTCCCCGTCGTCGGCACCTCGCCGTCGCCCGACGCGCTCGACGCCCTCGACCACGATGACCGGCTGCGGCCAGCCGCCAGCGCCACCAGTCGGCGCGTGAGCCTCCAGGTGAGTCGCGGGTTCGAATCTCCGCGCTGAAGCCCTTTTGCATCGGCGCTAGCCAGGGGCGGATCCGGGAAGGGGTTCGGGAGGGGGAGCGATGTCGCAGAAATCGCCTACTTCCAGGGGCAAAGGGCGGCTTTACCTTTCAGGCGGCTTGGGTGACGCCAACTCGCTAACTGCTGACTTGTCCTTCTGCCTGTGCAGGTCGAGAAACCGGCGCGGTCCCACGAGCGGCGCTACAGCTCCGTGTCGCCCGTGCCGCACGTGCGCGTGTGGGAGCCCTCGGACCAGGCGCCGGAACAGGCCGCCGACATGACGGTGTCGCAGCCCCAGGGCCACGCCGGCCACCAGGACCACCAGGCCTCCGCCATCCTGCTGGCCAAGCGGTGGGGGCCGGAGAGGATCGTGGCGGTGCGGCGCGAGCACGACTCCAGCCTGGGCATCAGCATCGTGGGCGGCAAGGTGGGCGCCAAGGCCCCAAGCCTTGGTCGTTTTCGTCGCTCTGTCTCTCGCCCACCTACACGGGACGCCCCATGCGTGGGAGAGAGACAGGGCGGCGGAAAAGACTCTCTGAAATCTGTCTGCTGTTTCTCTCCTATTCATGAGGCGTCCCTTAAGAAAGCGAGAGACAGCGTTTGCGGCCTTTCGTCGCTCTGTCTCTCTCGCACACTGCTAACCCCGCACGACTCGTTCCGTCCAGGTCGACCTCTACAACGCCGGCCCCGACAGCAGCTCCTCAATCACCGGCATCTTCATCAAGAACGTCCTGGCGCAGAGCCCGGCCGGCAGGACGCAGGAGCTTAAGGTGAGCAGAAAACCATTTCGACCAGAGCCTCCCATCAAAAGAGACCCATCTTTAACCTAATGAAAAGGATAGGCCTCTTTAGCCGGGAGGCGTCGCTTTGTCTCTCTTACTCTCGCGCGCGATCTTGGCGACCTTGATCGACGCGCGTTTTCTGCTGAAACCGCATTCGGGTTCCCGAACGGCCGGCGGCGGGGGGTATCGCCACAACCACCCTGCAGTTGGAGTCCGCGGGGCGGCGCGGCGCTACCCCCTGCCGCGCACGGGGTATCCACGCGACGCGACGCCACCCTCCACAATGTCTTCGGCTTTGCAGACGGGCGACCGCATCCTGGAGGTGGACGGCATGGACCTCCGGTCCGCCAGCCACGACCGCGCCGTGGAGGTGATCCGCGCCGCCGGCAACCCCGTCCACTTCCTGGTGCAGTCCCTCATACAGTGGGTGAGTACCGCAGGCCAGACAGACACTCCACCACAAAAACGGGAAAAGGCGCGCTAGCTGGGGGTAGACAACGCGGAAGAGGAACTCGGGGAGGGGATGAGGGAGACAGACAAAGCAGTCATTGTCTCGTTAGTTTTGTCTTGACAAACTGAAAAAAAAATCAAGCGAAAGTTTCCCACAAGGGAAATGGAATTAAAAAGATGTGACGTCCTTGTATCTTTCCTTCCCCCACAATCTTCTGTCTCTTCTACATGGAAATGCAATGTGTGTTGAAAATTAACCACTCCACCGGCCTCGCGGATTCGATAACTGGGAACTTAGCCCAGCGTCCTGGTCCGCCTGGAGGCCGAGGCCAGGCACAAGGTGGTGGCCGAGGCCAAGCCCAAGGCCAAGCCCAAGGTCAAGCCCAAGGTCAAGCCCAAGGTCAAGCCCAAGGTCAAGGCCGTGGCCTTGCTAGCGACGGGTAATTACTCCCAGTGTATGCCCCACGGGGTGGCTGAGCCTGCACCCCAAGCATGGTGTTCGAAAGCTTGTCCGTCTTAGACACCCCACTCCATTGAACGTCACACTTGGTTGAGTCTTTTGAATTTTGCCGAGGCGCCTCCCGTCGTCGTTCGCGCCTCTTTTTCTGTAGCCCACCACCACGTACTTGCGGGTCATCCTATTTTGGTTGGAAAGTGAGCATTTTGTCTAGGTCACTGTGACAATGAATCCGGCATGACTGTTGCGTTGTAACGTCCAAGTCACGTACATACCCCCCACGTTGTCATGACGATGTATACTGTTTTGTGAAACCAAGCATGGCTTTCCCTCTTGAGATCTTTGAAGATGACTCTTGTTTCTCTGTACCGGGGTCCGTGTCGCCCCTCCTTGGATTGTGTCGGTATAAAGACAGAGTGCACGGCGTTGAGACTGTAATGTAAATATGAACGACACTTCGTACTACTTCACCTCTTCTTGCAGTCACTTTAGACTTTCTGCTGCAGCCAGTTAGAGTCTGGCGACGCTTGGTGTGGTTTGGTTTAGAACATTGTCCAATTGTGTTGAAACGAAAGCCTTGCGTTGGGTTGCCATTTTCATTTTGCTTCCATGATTTTGTTGTGTTTTTGTTTCTGAGAAGGGCGGCGTTCAGAATTCGCCCACTTTTAGCACTTTGTATCTTAGTCGTAGAATGTACACATCAATTATAACTGTAATACGCGCAGCTGCTGTAAACTTGGACGACAGTAATATATCTTTTTTTTTAAGCGCATTTCTGAACGTCCCCTTCGTTGCGGACTCAACGGAGAGGGCTGCGTACGCACTTGTATATAAAACCCTCTCGCCGTAGCCGAGGTCATTAAATAGTGGGACCGACGGCCTGAGCCGGCGGGTTCTAATCCTACTTGACACTTTTTTTCTCCTTTTTTTTGGGTCGTAATTCTTTTAATTTGTGCCGGCAGCCCTCTCTAGCGTGCGCGGCTGCGCCGTGGCTGCGCGTGTGGCGTGTGGTTGGAGTGGTCTAGCGCTTGTGTTGCCGTTGCAGAGCGGGGCCGCTCCGCTCCCGAGTCATGCGCCCCACGCCTCCTGCACAGGACCTGCCCGCGGAAGCCTGGCCAGCGTGGGATCATCCCAGGGCTCCCTGCGACGCGCCGCCCCACAGCCCCCCGCCAGCGGCGCCGCCAGCCCAGGGGGCCCAGGGGGGCCAGGGCCCGGCACAGGGGCCGCCGGGGCCGCCGGGGCCCCCAAGGGGTTCCCAGGCCCAGGGCCCGGCCCCGGCGGCCCAGCAGTAACCAGGACCAACTCCAAGAGCGCCGCCTCGCCGCGCTCGCCCTCAGAGGTACACTTTGACCCCTCCAAGACCCCCAAGTTGTCCCTGTTACGGTCAGGCGCCCGCCAGCCCCACAGGGGCGACGCGCCCGGCCTGCTTTTATTGACCGTCCGTACTGCTTTTTCCTTTTTTCGACGCCAGAGTGCCGCCAGATGACAATCTCCGCGCCGCGACGAGTGGAGGACGGACAGACAGTCGGACGGAAAAACATACAACCTGACAGACAACCAGACAGACAAACAGACAGACAGGCTGACAGACAGTGCCTACCCCAGCCTAGCTGGTCCGGCACAACATAAGCACTGTCATGTAATTGCCCAACTTGGACGTGGGCCCTAGCAGGCCCTAGTGGGGCCCTGGTGCAAGGGCCAAAGCGAGTGTGAAGACAAAGGCTTCCTTCCCCTTCGGGTCCCCGTCCCCCCTCCCCTCCCCCTCCACGCCCCGCGGCCCTTTTGTACCGCGGGCGGCCCGCCGCGCACTCGCGCCAAGTCTTGCAGGTGCGCCAACTAAAGCAGAAGTTCACTATCGCGCTGCGTCCGCCTGTGCCGGCTGCTGCCGAACGCCTCGCTCCGTCTCACTCGCACTCTACGGAAAGGCCTCGCGAGAGCGACAGAGACGGGGCGACGAGCGCGTTGTTCGGCCGGCTGCTGGCGCTGCACAGTGGGCCGGAAGACCGGTGGAGGCGGACAAAATCCCAGACGCGTTTTGAGCTCTAGCGTCGCTGAATGGGACTCGAACCGAACGTGTGATCCCACCGATGGATTGCTTTCCGAACGAGGAATCCATTGGTGGGGTCACACGTTCGGTTCGAGCCCCATTTAGCGACTCTGGAGCTCAAAACGCGTCCAGGGTTTTGGCCGCCTGCACCGCGGTCTTCTGGCCCACTGTGCGCTGCTGGCGCTGCTGGTGCAGGCGGCGCGCGCGCTGGAGGAGCGCTAAAAGAGCGCTGAAAGAGCGCTGCCCCTGAAAGCCGCGCTGACAGCGGCCAAAGTGGCTGAAGGCGCTGAAGGCGCTGAAGGCCGCGGAGAGCGTGGAAAGCGTGGAACGCCGGAACGCCTGGAATACTTAATGCCCCCCATTGTTACCTCGCCAGCACACCGTAGCACAGCGCAGGCCGGGCCCGGCCAGGCCCGCCCCGCCGCCACGGCCGTTGCATAAAACGGCCCCGGCTTGTAATTTGAATTTTGTCGCCGACCTTTAAATCTCAAATCTCGCTTAAGCCCGCGCGGCGACGCGACGCTGCAAAAGTCACGTCGGGCTCCTTGTTTGCACCTCGCTCCGCCTCGCCACTGGGATTTAAGGGGCGCCGCGTTTCCATTTGGCGACGACAACAACCGGCAGGCTGATTCCGAGGGTCGTTTTCGTCGCTCTGTCTCTCTCGCTCGTTTACGGGACACCCCACGAGTGCGAGAGAGACAGAGCGACCAAAACGACTCTCGGAAGCAGCCTGCAGTCCGCCGCCGCCGTCGGAGACTTTGTTGCAGTTGGCTCCGAGTTGAACGTGAAAAATGTGCGCCCTTTCGCGCCCTCAATCCGAAAGTGTGTCCGCTTCGCCGGTTTCCCAGGCAGTGTCGCCGGCGCGGCGCTCCTTTGCACTAAAATAGCGACGCTTTTACCAGCGCTGCGTCCGTGTTCGTCTCGCGGCCGCCACCTGACAGTGGTGGAGCCATGGCGCGGGGCGGCGGAGTGAAATATTTTCCCGGAGACGCTGTCTGTGTGTGTGCGTCTCTCTCGCACTCACAGAGGGCCTCGCCATGAAAGAGGAAATGTGTCCTTTAGTCCGTACACGTCTGGAGCTTACTTTCCGCCCTGTTTTCTCTGAGGCCAAGGACGCCGCCTTGCACCGCGAGCTCCTTACAGTGGCCAAAAAAAGGAGTTGAAAACGAGAGAGAAAACGCAGAGGAAAAAACCATAAAAACCTCGCTTCTACTTGATTCCGGCTGCACACAAAGCAAGCGAAGCAAGCCGCCAGCTGAATCGGAGCGATTCGCCTCGCAACAAAAGCTTGCTTAGTCGAGCCGCCGGCTTTTGTCTTGGTCTGACGGCCTTGCGCTCCGTGCCATTCGTTTTTTTGTTTTCTGTCCCCCTTTTTTTTAGTTTTTTTTTTCACTGTCTTTTTGTGTTACCGCTTCGTAGGCGCCTGCGAGCGACGTGCGTGCCGCTACCAAGGCGCCGGGGACGGCGACGACGGGGACGGGTCTGACGCCGGCCGCCGCCGCCAAGCCAGCCGCCAAGCCGGCCGCCGCCTCCTCCAGCGAGGAGGACTCCGACGACGACGAGGACACCCGGGACATGGAGGGACGCATCTACACCAAGAAGGGCAAGGAGGTGAGCGGCGCTGTCTTCGATGCCTGCTGCCCGTACGGGACTCCGCATGAGTGCGAGAGAGGCCGAGCGACGAATCCGACTCTCGGAATGAGTCTGCCGGGCTAGAGGCCCTGGCTGGGCACGTGACTGGGAGCAAGGCCGTGACGGAGGTGCTGGTGCTGCCCGCAGATATCCAGAGCGAGTGCCGGAGCAGTGAAGCGGAGCAAGGACGAGATCGCCAACGACCCCGAGGAGGAGGACGAGTTCGGCTACACGATGAGTGAGTACAGTGCTGTGGGAGCCAAGACGTGCCTGGGCGGGGCGGGGGGCGGGCGGCGGGGCGGGGCGGGGCGGGGCGGGGCGTGCCGTGTTCGGGTGATTGCCGCCGTCCGCCGTTCGGTCGCAGTTCCCTTCATGCATTATTCTGCCTAAGCAGGCCGAGGCAGGCCGAGGCAGGCCGAGGCAGGCCGAGGCAGGCCGAAGGCGGGGTGCCTGCCTGTGCGTAGCGCGTAGCGTGAGCTCGCGAGCACCGCCCCTAACGCCGCCCCTACATCCAGAACCGCCCCGCCCTGCCCCGCCCTGCCCCGCCCTGCCCCGCCCCCCGCGCCGCGCAAGCACGAGGCCGTAAAGTTCGACCCGGATGTCAACACCGTTTTATCGCCTCGTCATTTCCGCTGCGACTACCGATACAGGCGGGGCTGCGGGGCGGGACGGGACGGGGCGTACTCTGGCGGCGAGGGTTGGCCGTTCCGTTGGTGCAGCCTGATTCCGCGCAGTGTTTCGTCGCTGTCTCTCTCGCACCCATACGGGACACCCTACGAGTGTGAGAGAGACAGAGCGAATCGGGCGATTGGCCGTGGGTTGGAAACTGCCGATGCGCCGTCGCTCTGAGTGACGGCCGGGCCGGGCCGGGCCGGGCCGGGCCGGGCTGCGGGCCTGGACTGGGTAAAAGAAGGCTTCCGAGGGATTTGAACCCGAACACCTGTCAAGGAGGCTTTATTCCGGAGCCCCCAGGTCCCGCACGGGCAGTGCTGTTGTGGTGGAGAGCGCCCGACGAGGCTCGGCCGGCAGCCAGCCCGGCGGAGCCGCCCCGCGGGTTGCCTAGCCTCGCGTCGTCGGGCGCTCTGCCGCTGCGAGGCGACATGGCGGTGAGGCCGCGCCGGCAGTTCGCTCCGTCCTCGCACCTCCCGCCAGTCCTCCACGACGACGCCCTTGAGGAGGAGGTACGGGAGCGGAGAGACGGCGGGAGAAAAGTTGCGACGGTTTGCAGAGCTCTGGGGCCCACTCGGCGCGGAAGCAACCCAGCCAGCGCCGCGGGTCTGGCCGGCCCGGGCTCCACTTCCACTATGATTTATAGGCTTTTCTGCTGACAGATCCACTGCCGCGGCACTGCCGCCCGCCGGCCCGGTCGCCTGTCTTGCTTCTCCCCGCCCCTCCCACCCCGTTTCCACCTTTCCCGTCAACCCAAACCCCCCACAACCCCCTGGGCCAGGGGCCCTGGGCCTCGCTGCTGCGTAAGTCCGCGGGGCCGCTGATCCCCCTAAACACACCCCCTGCCCGCGTGGCAGTGCCGTGGCAGTGCCGTGGCACACTGAGTCGCTAAGGTCCTGCCTGCCTTGGCCACACTGTGCGTGCGTGCGTGTGTGTGTGTGTGTGCGCGTGTATGTGTGTGTGGCGTGACAAACGCGCCGCTGCCATACAACAACTTGGCTCCGCTCGCTCCGCTCCGCTCGTCGAGCGCGCCCCGCCCCGCCCCGCCCCGCCCCGCCCCGCGCCACTCTCCGCCACTCCATCGCGGGGCAAACCGCGGGGGCAACCACGGGGACGGGGCCGCTGGCTGTAATGGGCCCAGTGTATAATTGCGACTAAATAAAACGACACAGTCCGGAATAAAATATTTAAAAACAAAAATTTCCAGCTAGCCGCGCGTTGCCCGGCTGAGCGCGGCGGGATTTGAACCCCCGGCACGCCCAGGGCACGCCTCGCTGAATGATACGGCATGCGCACGGGAGTAACTTAGCGTAATGGGGCGACACGCACACAGGCACAGACAGTGGGACATGCTCACACAGACAGAGAGACGCACACACACACAGACACTCACACAGGGAGGGAAGCGATGTGGGTCAGGCCACGTGTGGACTGGCCGGTGGTGGTCAGTTTGGCTTGCCGCCCTATTTGGCCCACGCTCTCACGCGAACGACCACGAGGCACGGACACGGCGCGGCACGCGTGTCTCCCATGGCCAGTGCTGGCACGCGGATTGGTCGATCGGGATTTTGGTTGGTTCGGAGGCGCGGACGCGGCCGACGCGCCCACTGCCAGAAATACAACGCCGCGCGATCGGCGATCGGAGACATTTGTTTTCCTGCTGAATATTTCGAAATTTCCAAGATTTTTGTTAACAGTGCCGCGACTTGCCGTTCCATTCATCATTCATCCTCAATCGTACACTGTTTCTTTCAAAATTTATCCGGAGAGCGCGCTCCGGGCTTGCCGGGCCTGCCTGGTCTGCCCATGCGCTGCGGAAGTTATTCTCCGGGGAGCCTCCCTCCCCATCCACCGGCAAAGTGCAGAATAACTGCTTGGCCTGATTAATTATTCACGGGAACAGGAGAAAGGAGCGAAGAAAAGATTCGGACGTCTCGGCGGATGTACTGGCCCTGGTGCTGGGCTGCCGGCATGGCGTCGCCACGCCATTAACTCGTTCTACGGGTCAATCAGTCCCTGTGGAGGACGGAGCAGTCTTGGAGCGTCCTGGAGGGTTCTGGAGAAGTTCCTGGAGCGTCCTTTTCGGGGTCCTGGAGATGTTCTTCGAGAGCAGCGTCCTCAAGGTTCTGGAAAAGTTCCTGCAAAAATCCTGGTTGGTCCGGGGGAAGTTCATGGATAGTCCTGGAGGGTTCTGTAGAAGTTCCTGCAGAAGCCTGGAGGGTCCTCAGGGTCCTAGAGAAGTTCTTACAGAGCCCTGGAGGGTCCTTGGGGTCCTGGAGAGTCCGAGGGAGGTTCATGGATAATCCTGGAGAGCCATCTAGATCCTGGAGAAGGTCCCAGTTACTCCTTAAGGGTCCTCAGGGTCCTGGAGGGTCCTCAGGGTCCTGGAGGGTCCTCAGGGTCCTGGAGGGTCCTCAGGGTCCTGGAGGGTCCTCAGGGTCCTGGAGGGTCCTCAGGGTCCTGGAGGGTCCTCAGGGTCCTGGAGGGTTCTCAGGGTCCTGGAGGGTCCTCAGGGTCCTGGAGGGTCCTCAGGGTCCTGGAGGGTCCTCAGGGTCCTGGAGGGTCCTGGAAGGGCATCGTTATTCAACATTCAATCAACCCGCGCCGTGTTTCGACACCATTTTTATTGCCTCTGCGCCCCTTCAACCTGTCTGCGCGTGTCTGCGTGTGTCTGTGAGCGTCTGTGTGTGTGTGCGCGCGGCGCGTGCTTAGTGTAATGGTTCGGTGTGCTTGCTCCCTGACACGGCTGCTCGTTATTGGCCGCACCATTCATCACCGCTTTGCCGGCCCCCTCCCCCTTCTCCCTGGATAAGATTAATTGCGCGGGCCAGGGCTGCGCTGGGCTGCGCTGGGCTGCGCCACTGCCGCCACTGCGGTCCTGCGCTGCGCCGCTGGGTCGCTGGGCTTCGGTTTCAGGGTTTTAAGACCCAAGAGCCGCCGCTAGGGAGAGGGGTAGCGCTCAGTCCGCCTTGGCTGCCTGCCTGGCCGGAGCACAGTGGGCCAGAAGACCGGCGGAGGCGGCCAAAACTCTAGACGTGTTTTGAGCTCCAGAGTCGCTAAACAGGACTCGAACCGAACGTGTGACCCCACCAATGGATTGCTCTCCGAGCGAGGAATCCATTGGTGGAGTCACACGTTCGGTTCGAGTCCTGTTTAGCGACTCTGGAGCTCAAAACGTGTCCGGGGTTTTGGCCGCCTCCACCGGTCTTCTGGCCCACTGTGCGGAGGGCTGGCTGGACCGCGTTTAGCAAAATGCCGAGTTTTACGTCAGCTTTACGTCGTCGTCGGGGAGGGGTCGGTTTTTACCCTTTCTGTTCTCACCGCCGGCGGACGCCGAGTCGCCTCGCCCGCCGTTTTCTTTTCGCCTTTTTTTATTTTATAAAGTGATTTGAACAAGCGAAGCGGAGGGCGCTAGCGCCAAGCTCGCGCCAGGCACACTATCGGCAAAGTCTCCCCTGCAGCGCCGTGCCGCCGTGCCGCGCGGCTCGCCCTGCATATCAGTTTGCTAGTCTGGCGAGACGACGCCCCGTAAAAAGCATCTCGCAGATTGCTGGGGAGATAGCGGTGCCAGCGGTACCGACGTACCTGCGGGGCCGAGGAGAGAGAGAGAGGGGGGGGGGGACCCTGTCGAAAACAAGCCAAGTACGCATCCCTTTGAAGTGCTTAGGCCTACTCTGTAGCAAGCAAGCGTTAAGAAGTGTTGAGTTTTCGGTGAACGGAAACTTATCCTGCGCTGGTGACTGTCAAGCGACGATGACAGGTCTCTTCTAAAGTCGAAAATGCAAGACAAGGCCGGAAACCTCTTGCGTGAATTTGGTTTTCGTGGTTTGAGTGGTGGAGCAACTGGTGGAAGTTACGTCTTGATAAACTAAACTGGCCCTGTAGTCGCTGCTTAACGGTTGCACGCTTGTCGTACAAAGTTGAACCAGCTCCTGCAAGAGGGCCTCGTCCCGCGCTAAGCTGGAGGTAAGTCTTAAAGACGGTCATGTACCGCACCGTGACGCACCGCGCTAAGCCCCGCCGCCCAGGGCGCCACCTAGCGGCACTGCGGCATGCCGGCGAGGGGGGGGGGCGTGGCAGGGGGCGGGGCGCGGCGGGGAAGGCCCGAGCGCGGCCGAGGCGCTCCGAACGGGTCCGAGCGGCACTGGCGCTGCCCGCGCTGCCGAGGGCTTGCCTCGCCGCTCCGCCTGGCTTTGCCGCGAAACCGCTTCGGTCTTCGGTTCGGTTCGGCCTTTCGCGCCAGTCGAGGCCGCGCCGCCGCACCGCGCCCGCCGCACCGCGCCGTGACGAGCCGAGCACGCCCGGGCCGAGCCGAGCCGAGGCACGCGGAGCGAGCCGGTGCGTTTGGCGCGCGCCGCGCGTCTGCGTTGTTGTCGGTGCGCGACTGTGCGTGTTTGCGTGTGTGTGAGTAGTGTGACATGGGGTGGCGTGTAGCCATGTGGATGCCATGAGGTGCCGTGCCATGATAGCGTTACCCCACCATGGAGACCATAGCGGAGGATGCCAACGAGCTGGAGCTGGAGCTAGGTACATGTCTACGTAAGGATTTTCCATTTCCATTTTTCCTTT